GGTCCCCGGGAAGCGCGGGAAACGGCCGGCACCCCGCGTCCCCCTCCGCCCGCTGCGCACTCGGCATGTCTGTGCGCGTCGGGGTGTCCTGCTTATTTTGGCTTGGCGTCATTTTATAATAGCCCAGCCTCCTGGCAGGTGTTTCCTTTTCAGTGTCTGTGGATATAATGAGCCGCTTTTGATTTGAGGAGCCAAAGGATCTAGAAAATTCTGGAGGGACATTTTTTTCCTACTGTGAATAGGCAAAGTGAGAAAAGGCTATGGTTTGGTTTGGTTTCAATTAGACTTAATCCAAATGTTTTACCTTCCTAGATCTTTAGCCCCCTGATCTGTGGGATAGAGACAGCTTTTGCCTCGGGCTGAAACACAACCCACACTGCAGGGGGCCGCCTGACATCTGTTCCTTACAATCCTGGTGTGTTTGCTACACGACAGCATGATTATCTAAATCAGACAAATTTATTATAGTATTTACCACTTCAATGAAATGTTATAAAGTGGAGAGTATTGATTCGAGTTATAATTTTGGAATTAAACAGGCTTAAATTTTAAAGAAGCTTTAATAAAATTAGAAAAATAAAAGATACATGTAATTCCAGTCTAAAAGATATCAGTACCAACATATACACTATTACTGACAAGAATTCTCTAGAAGTGATATAATCTGAAATTCTCTAAGAACAAAGCTCTAAGTGTTATCATTACTTTTCTGCTGATGATTTAAATTCGCTATTTGTAACTAAGAAAGTAGGTATATTTCTATTTCTCATCATTTCATATTTAAAGTAACCTTTCATTTTATACATACTCTTGAATTATGATTCTGAAATAGCTATTAATAATCTGATCTTAGATCTATGGGTTTGCAACATTAAAAAAAAAAACAAAAAACAAAAAACAACTTTGTAAGAGAAAAGATTGCAGGATAAAAACGCCTAAATAGAATTTTAAAAATTTTACCCAAACTATGTCATTTCCCTGTTAGATTATGTCATTACTCTTTTTTCACTGGTTCTTCATTTGAAGCCAAAAAATGATCAGTAATGAAAAATGAAATTTTAAAATCTTCACCGTGCTTACTTGTTTGTCAGCTGATAATGAACAGCATTCCCAGGTAACAAGAGGGTCCCTAAGTCCAACTTAGAGAGTCAAATTTAGCACCTCTGTCAAAGAAACACACTACTTCTACCTTAAATTATTCAACAGGAGAGAAACAGGGATATAACAGTCACTAAGACTATGTGCAGATCTTGAAAACGCCAGTAACTGTAAGTCACACGCTGACAATACATCCGCACTTGGTGGCGGCAGAGGTACACCTCCGTAAGGAACTGCAGTGACCTCGCCAGATTACAACTATTCAGTTAAGAAAAGGTGGGAACTTCACAGACGTGGCAGTCATCAGCAAACCTTTCCTCACCTGGGAAGTTCACACCGTTGCTCTTAAGTCCTGACCTTATGGAACAGCGCGAGGTACTAAGAGGCTTGTATTTTCGCCCCTCGATTATGTGTCTTTTCTGAATTAAATAATTTTTATTCTGCTCTAAATTTGTACTATGTACGTACCCATTAGCCGTCTCTGGAGTGCTTCTTCCTCCAAAGTGATAATATAAATTTGTTCATCCAGGTCTTCAAGAATCTAAACATAAAGATCAAACTGTTGAATAATGCAACATTACAAAACTAGCGCTTACGAGAACACTGAGGCTATTGGGTCTGTAATTTAGATAACCACACGAATTACTAGGAATCTACAATAAAAAGCTCAAACTACTCTATTTACAAATTAAGCTAAAATATTTCAGGATATAACTAAGCAGATCAAAAGCCAATTATGACAGAATCTACATACACATAAGTAGGATATTTTTTAAGTTTAAAGGATTAAATGGCTCTGCAGCTCTCTTGATGGCAAACAAAAGCAAAATTTCTAAACATCCAAAAAGCTAAACACAGTACTAACTCATTCTGCCCAAGCCAGTATTTCAGGGCCAGAAGGAACAGGTCACCCAGGCAGACACTGGTTTCTCATCTGTATTCACCTACGTGATGTCTAAAACAAGATCTCCATAAACTAAATCACTACCATGCAATGCTTTCCATTTACGTCATCCTTATAGATTAAGAATTTTCCACAACTGTTGAACACTGGTATTATCGAAATCATCCCGCGGACAGAATCGTAGAGCAAGAGCAGGCTCACTTACCACCACCCACCATCACGCCACGCGACACCAGTAAAGAACTAGAAAACCACTAATCAATAACCAATGATATGGGCTACTATCTGCCCTGTCTTCAAATCTGGTACAACCTGGAGCTGTTTAATCCTGGCTTCACTCAGCTTCCCTTCTCGAGACACCCTCAGGATGCTCCTGGCTCTGGGGAAACCTGAACGAAACACGGGCCAACGTCGACGACGTTCCCCGACCGCGTGTGCCCGGCAGGACCGTAAACCGTGAGGAGCAGATGGGCAGAACAAAAGGATGGAAACGCCCTGTGCGACAGCCTCTCAGTGCCTGCGAGGTGTCCTCAGGAAAAGGAGTCTCAAATCATACAGTCCCTATCAGGTACCAGATTTGCAAATTCACATACAACTTATTTTAAAAACCCAATGATTCCCAGTATTTCAAAAAGTACTGATACTCTCCTCTGGCCTAGCTGATAACAGAATCAAATAATAAACTGAATAACAACGAACATAAATAATTACGAGAGAACCGTCCTGAGCGCGAGGGAGTGGGGGGGAGTAGGGGGGTGGCCTGTGGCACGACAGGTGAGTCCTGAGCAGGAAGGAACGGGGTGCACTGACTCTGAAAGCACCAGCGGGGCTGCACAGGAGCCCAGGTGTTCCGGCCCCAAGTGCGCGAGGTTCCCGCCCGGAACCGGGCCTCGACGATGCACGGCCAGCGGGGGCAGTAAGGGGCCCTGGGTGGGAGACCCTACCCGGCCAGGGACGGGAAAGCGGGCGGTCCGCTCTGAGTGCAGTAAGCCCCTGGAGTCCAGGATCAGAGCCAGCGGGTGGGGTGGCGGGGTCGCCACAGCCAAACTCAGTGTGGCCGGGCTGCAGAAGGCCTTGAAACACGTGAGTCATTCAGAGTCTGCAGGCAGTGGGGACCCATGAAAGTAACTGAAGTGACAAATTCCCTAGGTCAAGCTAAGAGATATTTTCACACTATTAAACATTGGGCAAAATAGCCAGAAGCCAAGGAAACTTTGGGAAAAATCATTACTAACAATTGAAAATCATTTAAAGATGAATACTTAGTATTTCTGAGATCCAGGGAAAAGTATAACTCAATCAAGATATAACATGCAGACAAATTTTCAGAAACAGAACTACTGTGTAAAACAAAGAGTACGTGATAAATTCTGTAACATAATAGTACTATTTGATACAACAGACCCCTCAAGTAACTGGAAACATTTGTTAATTTTATCTTAAAATTTGCTAGGAATTTTTACCTGAGTGTTCAAAGATGAAAAAGATTAAAACCGAGGACAGCAATTTGGGTCATAAACCCACAAAAACATCCTTATGTTTCCGAAGGCTCATTCACACCGTACTGTGCAAACGCACTGACTTGACAGACAAGGGGGCGGCAGGGGCGTACTCACCGCAGGCTTCACCAGCAGCTGGCCCGTGACGGTGAACATGCGGGAAAGGCCGACTGGGGTGCACACTGCGGGGAGACCATCGACAGGACAGCTCACTTCCGACCCGAGCAGGGAGACCACCAACCCAGAAGGTAAGGCAAACCCAGAGACTCTCATTTTAAGAAAGTTCTGGTCTCAGATTGAGATTCTCCCGCTGTTTTGCCTTCCCGTACTTAATAAGAGACCTGGATGACTAAGGAAAGGCTTAGGACACACGAGGCTCCAGCAGTTGAATAATAATAAGTATTCTCACTTAGAAGAAATTAAAGAAGAGCAGCTAAGGAACAGATTAAGTTTCAAATACTAATGGAACTGAGAACCAGACGAGAATATCTAAAAGTGACAACTAAAGTCTTCAATCCTTTCAACTACATTTATCTGCTTTTAACATCCCTGAGATATGTTGTGCTGTCTTAAGTAAAACTAAACAAACTCTGAAATAACGGCCACACACTCAGCATTCAAAATTCTGCCATCGCCACTCAAGAGCAGAATCCAGCGTGGTGACAGCGGTGCGCGTGCAGGTGTGTGCACGCCAGCGCGCACCCCCCTCCCCTCCGCCCCACCTGTGGAAGAGGCTTTCCTGACAGAACGGCCCAAGTGTCTCACTATTTCAAGGCTTTAGTTTCTCAAAATTTAACTTTAACATAAAAAAAAAGTTAAGGGCCAACTTTAAAAAAATCTGCAAGCTGGTAAGGAATCTCATCAGGAAAATTTCTCATAATTTTCCAGAACACATAACAACTCTACTTTGCTACCAGTATTAAGTCAGCAAAATACTTACAGAGAAGCAACAGACAGCCCATCAGTGATATACAGGAATATAAATAGGGTAGGTAGAACTCCCAGAGGTCTGGAAAAAATGTAAATATATTCTAGTAAATCCAAATTACTGTACACTAAGATACAGGCTGACTATAAATTAATGTATACTAAACATCAAAATTGCCTATCTGAGCCTACCAAACCACATAATTTCTAAACTATATGATAAAAAAGATCTAAAACAGAAGAACGGGAAATAAACCCTTTGCAAAACCTGTCTGGAGGGAGAAAAAAGCCTCCGTGGAATTAAAAGAACAGAAACCAAATAACCCCCAAAAAAGAGAGAGAATTCTGAAAAGCTGCGTACACGTTCTGCATACAGGAAACACACGAGCATTCGTTTTTCTCAAACATGTCTAAAGACTCCTTAATGCTGTCAGTTAACAAGGGTTCACTATACCAAGAATCATCCCCAGGTTTTCAGGAGCGACTGCGTAAACGCACGGCCGCCGGAGCGGGGGCTAAGCCCGGCCCTACCGTACAAGGACTCAGCACTGGCCGGGTCATTGTCCACGAGCGCCGAGGCCACCCACACGATGCCCAGGATCAGCAGAGCCACAAGGATGAGCATGACCAGGGTTTCCAACACGCGGGCTCGGAGTCCCTGGGAAATAAAACAGAGAGGCGGTTTTCATATTTTGCTTCATCTCGTGAACGATCGGGTTTCTGTGTGAAAGCAGAAAAGTCCTTTGGAAGGGGAGGAAATTTACACTTATCAGCAGGACAGAAACCACTAAAGGCGTACGGTTTAGACTGACTTCAAAATGATGTAAAATACCATTAAGCTTTGAAAGAAGTACCAACAAATTTCACAAAACCTATTACAGAGCCATTTTAAATAACTATGGATTTTCCTGGCACCTTGCGCCAAGAAAGTAGGTTTAACAACCGTTATCGGCGGTTCTCCTGGGAGGTCTGGGGGGACCCAGTACAGCCACGGCACCACTCAAAACACCACCCATGGTGGCACAGCCTCAGCGCTCCCCAGCACGGGGCGAGGAGCTCCGCTGGCCACCGCGGGAGAAACCGGAGCGGTGCGGACCGGCCGGGTCGTTCTGTCCCGCGTTAGAATTCTTAGTCCGCGGATAATCACCTTGCACGATCTGTTTAGAATACAAAACAAGTTCTGACCTTGGGGTCAAACAAGAGGCCAGACTCAGGGCGAAAAATCAAAACATCCTTATTATCCCTGAAAAATCCCCAAATGATTGAAACAGTACCAAAATTTAAAACTTCGTGTTGATGTTTTAATGCAGTAATCTACGACATCTAACACAACAAACAAGATTAAACGTATATCCACATTTCTTAATAATCCATGCACTCTCTCCTTCCGTGTTAGAAGTAGTTCAAAGATCTGAGTTATGAAGACCCTAAACATACACTTACCCCGGTCTTGTCCTGAACGTTACCTTGGAGTTTCTGGATTGAAGGGACAGGTTGCGCTTAAACTCACAGCCTAGCTCCCCCGGTCCAGCGGAGAGCAAGGGCGCCCCTGAACCCGGGGTGGACAGGCCCTTCTGCCCTTGATGGCGACTCGGAGGGGGAGTGGCCTTTCCTCGGGGTCCAGCCCTGCCACCAGTGGCCCTGGGGTTGACACACGCGCTCAGGCGTGAGGGCTGGCGCTCCCGCACGCTCCCAGCGCGGGAGGCCGCTGAGCCCGAGAGCGCCGGACTGGCGTTTTACATCGGGCCCAAGCTGTGACACCAGTGACAAAGCACCAACAGTCCCAAAACACGACACGCTGCTAACTTCCACACCCCCACTTGGGGGAGACTCCTGAACCCGCGCTTCCCGACCTTCACACCGCTTTGAACAGCGATGTCTCCTCCTCCTCTCTCGGTGAGCACCTTCTGATCACCCTGGACCTGGGTGCAGAGCCTGCAAACCAAGCGGACGCGGCAGGCGCGCCTCTGGGACATCAGTCCTCTACAGTGGCTCTGCCCTGGTCTTCCAACCTCCGCTCCCCCAGCCACGCAACCCCTCTCCGCATCTTGCGACCCCTGGCCTAGACCCGCCGGCGAGCCAGTGTGTCTAATGCCGGCCCGCATCGACAGCGCCTTGGTATTCCCGGCCCCCCGACTTCCTCGCGGCCCCTTAACTCGCCGCAGCTCGCTCCTGGCCCCCCAGCCCTGGTCGGGGAACTGAGGAATCCACGAGAAGCGACCGCGGCCGCATTCCGAGGACAGCCGCGGAGTCGCCTGGCGATCCTGACCTGACCTCGGGCCCACGGCCGACCCTGCAACTACTTCACGTTCCCCTTGACCCTAGCCTCACCCGCCTTCCTGCTTCTCCCTCGGAAAGACGCCCTTGTTTCCTCCACTGCAGAGGGAGGCCATCGCACAC